TTAGTGTAGTTGGTGTAGTTAGTGTAGTTGCTGTAGTTGCTGCAGTTGGTGTAGTAGCTGTAGTTTGTAATAGTAATAGTAATAAATTGCTTTATTTGCATGACCGCATCACTTTACAGTATTGGAAAAGCATGTATATGACAATCAAAATAAAAACAAAACAGCACTAATAACAATCTAGAAAAATTCGGTTACATTACTAACAATGAATCACGTATTTTCATGCAGAAGGAGACAAACTTCATAACTAACTTATTTACATGATGTTCCTTCGAATTCATTATCAGTTTTATGCTTTCCGGAGATGATTTCTTGTCAAAGTCAGGTATTATTCGATTGATTTGATTAATAAATGCCTGTCTCTGTACTGAGTATTTGTTACATTGAAAGATGAAATGAATCTCATCTTCTACCTGATTTGAGTTACATAAAGGACATAATCTATTTTCTCTTGGCAAATGATCGATTTGGTATCGACCATGTTCAATCATAAGTTTGTGATTACTTATTTTAAATTTAACAAAATTCTGTCGTTCGTCATAATGTCTTAGCTGGTAGAGATAATCAGATGTAGAATATTCATCTTTAAAAGTTTTATAAAATTCTAGTTTTTTTGAATTTTCGAGGCTGTGCCGCCAATAAGATAGATATTTCTCTCTCATTTCTGTGGTATATCGTCTAATTTTATCATTATCTAGAGATTCAGCATCTAAACTGGTTAGATTGTATTGTTCAAGCATGTTTATGAAATTGGAAAAATATCCGGAATTATTCATAGAATGTAGATTCTTTGACATAAGGAAAGACTGTTTGACTATGGAGTCATTAGCTTTGTTGTTGAGGTAAACAAAATATTTCATAATTTTCTGATTTATCGGGATAAGCAGCGGCAGTCTATCAAGTTCAGCTCTGCAGGCTATGTTAGAGGCCTTATTGTTAACCTCTAAGTAACGTTTACAGAATTTGAGGTGGATTTTTTCTATTGGGGAGCTATCCCATTTTTTAAAATCTTGCTTGGTGTACATTCCCCATACCTCGCTGTTGTAACTCAAGATTGGGAATACCATGGTGTCAAAAATTTGGGATGCAGTATTAGGATTAAGTTTGTTAAGAATTGTCCGCTTCCGAATACTAGAAAACGCGTGAAGGGCCTTTTCTTTTAAGTGTTCGAGTGCAAGTGTAAAGTTTCCCGTTGGAGTTAAACGTGTACCTAAATAAGTGTATTCTTGGACAATTTCAATTGACTCACTGCCTATGTTGAATTTGATGTCAATAGATTTTTTGGGGCGTTTCTGGAATATCATAATTTTTGTTTTCTTGGGATTAATTTTTAGCTTCCATTTGTCACAATACAAAGAAAGCGCATTTAAACAGTTCTGTAATCCAGTTTTCGATCTTGAAAGAATAACTAAATCATCTGCGTAGAAAAGTGAATTTATTTTTTTCCCATTTGGGAGAACAAATGGGTCAGATAAGGTGTTTTCGAATAAAAGTGGTAGATTGTTTAAATAGAGGTTAAATAAAAGAGGGCTTAAAATACAGCCTTGACGTACACCTCTGGAATATGAAAAAGGCTGTGTTTTGTTTTCACCGATTTTGATGGAACATGTCGAGTTGCAATAAAGGCTTTTCATGAGGTTGTACAAGTTTCCTCCTATATTCGTTTTTAGCAGCTTATAAAACAATCCTTCGTGCCAAACAGAGTCAAACGCTTTGCGGAAATCTACGAAACAAGCGTAGACTTTTTCCTTGTGATAATGCACATATTTATCTATTAGGGTCCTTAGAGTGAAAACATGGTCTGCAGTGCAGTTTTCAGGCAAAAAGCCAATTTGGGAATTATGTAATATCTTATTTTCCTCAAAATACAAGTGAAGTCTTCGATTTAAAATAGAACAGAACAGTTTTCCAAGGCAACTAGAAACACATATGCCTCTGTAATTTGTTGGATCACTCTTGTCACCAGATTTGTAAATTGGGGTTATGAGGCCTTGACACCAAACATCTGGCATTTTTCCGGATTGTAAAATGAGGTTAAAAAGTTTGACATAGACAGGCATTAGTGGTTCGAGGCTTGCTTTGATCATTTCATTTCGTATTTTGTCAACAAATGGTGATTTCTTATTTTTCAATTTCTTCGCCGCTTGACGTATTTCCCTCTCAGTTATCTCATAATCGAGGTGGTTAAACTGTTCCTTTTCGTGTTCTAAAGAATTTAGTTCCCTATGGATTTCATGTTCATGCGTGGAATTCGTCGGGTCAATAGAATGCAGAGATTTGAAATGGTGAAGCCATGATTCTTCCGAGATTGGGGCAGGAACATTTTCGTTGAAAGTGTCGCTCATCGAATTTAAACAATTCCAAAATGACGCCTTGTCAGGATTAAAGCTAGTTCGTCGAGTTGTAATGTTTTTTCTTTGTGGAATCCTCTCTTCTTTGTGCCTAGGAGCTTTTTGTAATCATTCAAGGTTTTGTGATATCTTTCCCGCACTTCGGAGTTGAGGGGGTCACGGTGCTTTTCATTTGAGACTTTTCGTAATTCATGCCTTTTCAAGCGACATTCACAGTCGAACCATTTCTTGTTGGATGATTTCTTAATACGCTTATAAGTTTTCTTAGCTTTAATTTTTAGGCATAGCTTGGAGCTCTCAGTTAGAATTTTCATAGCGTTTTCTAAGGAGATATTCACATCTTCGGTGTTTCTCTCCATATATTGTCTAATTAGAATTTGGATTGGTTCCGTGCGCAGTGCGTTTTTGAATTTTGAATGTGAGTCAACTTCCCAGCAAAATTGCCGTGGTAATTTTGATAATCTATTGCTACTATTGGGAGTGTGCATTTCGTCTCCAATTAACCTGGTGTTAAGATTGAGCCATGCCACGATGGCACTATGATCCGATAAATAAGATGGCTGTTTAACAACAAAATTTGCAACGTTGAGAAATGTACACTGATCACATATTAGATAATCAATAACGCTCGTTCCGTTTTTTCCATGAAAAGTGGGTCTGCCTAGGGTATCTCCATTAACTCTGCCATTAACTATTCTTAGGTCAAAGGTTTTACAAATTTCAACAGCCGTTTCCCATGGCTATTTAAAACATTATCAAAACTGTTTCTTTGAGTTGGCTGGAAAGCAGATTCCGACTGATCATTACTAATTCTACTGTTTCCCTCCTTTGAGACAGTATCAGAGTATTTCCCTGTTCTCGAGTTAAAGTCACCCATGAGAATTATTGATCCTTTCGAAGAAAAACGTACTATGTCTTGTTCTAGCTGATCAAAAATTTCGTTATCAAAGTATTTTGAGTTACAGGGGGTATATAGACACCACAGACGTAAATATTCTTCACTGAATTTAGAAAACGATTCTCAATTTTAAACCAAATAAAATGCTGAGTTGTTTTAGTGATGGAAATGTTTTTGTGGAATTTGTTCTTATAAAATAAAGCGATTCCTCCGGAGTTACGCCCACCTCTCCCCGACTGATTTGGTGTGGGACATTGAAAAAAAGATTTGTATCCCGCAATTTCCAGATTAGAGCAGTTGCCAATTTCTGTTAACAATATAAAATCGGAGTTATTAATAACACTCAAAAAATCAGTATTATCTAACTTATTTCCAAGATATTTCGAAGAAAGGCCATTAATATTCCAAGCGCAAAAGGACAATGTGCTTGAAATATCGGGACTATCTTCGGTGTCCGTGATTGTATAGAAAATAATAAATGGGTTACTCTTTATACTGGTATAAAGTTTATCATTAATACTTAATTCAGTGTCAAGGGTAAGATGAAATTGTTCATACAAATGATTTTATAAAACGAAGAAAGGATATGATTTCCTGAGGCATTGCTGAATCCGTTAATTTGTTGGAGGGGCGAGTTTCTTCACCTGCGGTTTCCATTTTAGCGGCCTGTGGAAACGTTTGATGCGGTGTTTTGGAGTATTGATGCGATATAGTTGGTGGCGGAGCTGGGAGTATCTGGTCCGGCAGGGTTTGCATAGGAAGCTGGAATGCTTTATTTGAGGCATTTGGTTCATGATGTAGTGAATTTTGCAATGGTGTTGGAGGTATTCGTTGTGGAAGTTGTGGTGTGACAAATGGTAACGGCGGAGGTTGAGTTTGAAGAAGGTGAGGCCAACGAGGCACTTGAGGTGGTGTGTTCTTTACGGCATTGCTGTATGATGTGTGATGTAATAGTGGCTTGGGACCTTGGGAAGAAGTCGGTTGAGTTTGTGAGGATCTTTGTCTTTGGGCTGGCATTGTATTAGAAGGAACTGTAGGTTTTGGTCTGGCACGACCGCGAATTGTGTCCTTAAGGTTTTTGGCGAAAAATTTTACGTACCGTTTAAGAATATGTTTCTGATCGTAAAGAATATTTGATTGATTCTCAAAGAGGTTGTCATGTTTGACTAACTGCACATTGGGTAATCTTGAGCAGCTACTGATCAACTGATTGTTTATTGAAGTTATTATTGGTGTCGGGATGTCGCTGCGGGGAAGAAGTGTTGAGTAGAATATTTTGCTTGAAGGAAATTTCGTTGAGGCTTCTGTAATCAATATTAAGATGTTAGAAATAAGATCTTCAGGAGAACTGGTTCTTTCTAGATCGTTTGTTCCTGTGTGTAATATGAGTAGTCGGGGAGCAGTGTGGATTTGACTTTGTGTAGTTGGTGTAGTTAGTGTAGTTTTGTGTAGTGGGTGTAGTTTTGTGTAGTTGGTGTAGTTTGGTGTAGTAGGTGTACTTTGGTGTAGTTTTTTGTAGTTGGTGTAGTTTTGTGTACTTGGTGTAGTTTGGTGTAGTTTGGTTTAGTAGGTGTTGTTTGGTGTAGTGTTGTGTAGTTGGTTTAGTTTGATGTAGGTGGTGTAGTTTGGTGTAGTTTTGTGTAACTACTACACTAAACTACACCAACTACATATACTACACCAACTACAGTAACTACACGAACTACACTAACTACACCAACTACACTAACTACACCAACTACAGAAACTACACCAACTACACAAACCACACATACTACACCAACTACAGTAACAACATCAACTACACTAACTACACCAACCACACAAACTACACCAACTACACATACTACACTAACTACTACACCAACTACACTAACTACATCAACTACACCAACTACAGCAACTACACTAACTACTTTAACAACAGCAACTACACTAACTACACCAACTACAGTAACTACATCAACTACACTAACTACACCAACCACACAAACTACACCAACTACACATACTACACCAACTACACCAACTACATATTCTATACCAACTACACATACTACACCAACTACACTAAGTACACCAGCTACACAAACTACACCAACTACACATACTACACATACTTCATATCCTACACCAACTACACCAACTACACCAACTATATATACTACACCAACTACACTAACTTCACCAACTACACATACTACACCGACTGCATATACTACACGAACTACACTAACTACACACACTACACTAACTACACCAACTACAGCAACTACAGCAACTACACTAACTACACCAACTATAGAAACTATAACACTAACTAAACCAGCTACAGCTACTACAGTAAATACACTAACTACACCAATTACAGCTACTGCACCAACTACATCAACTACAGCAACTACACTAACTACACCAACTACAGCTACTACACTAACTACACCAACTACACTAACTACACCAACTACAGCTACTACACCAACTACAGCTACTACACCAACTATACCTACTACAGCTACTACACCTACTACACCAACTACACCAACCACACTAACTACACCTACTAGAGCTACTACAGCAACTTCAGCTACTACACCAACTACACTAACTACACCAACTACAGCTAGTACACCAGCTACAGCAACTACAGTAACTACACCAACAACACTAACTACATCAACTACACCAACTACGGCAACTACACTAACTAGTTTAAGAAAATAAGTGCTTTTCCAGTCTGCTTTATTGAAATTATTCACGATAAATGGGGTTTGATAAAAGCGTTGGTTAAACTGAAAAGGGCTTAATTATAACGCGATTTTGTAACATACCGGCTAAATAACTGGCCCTTAGTGTTTAATAAATACAAGTAAACAAAATATACAATGGAAAATTCCCCAGCAAGAAGTGCGTAAAATCACTCTTATCGAAGTACAATAAATTTTAAGAGAAGCTACTACAGAGGCAAATGCATCCGGTTCGGCAGAAAGACTCCCAATGCGGCTAATTTGTAGTTGAGTTCTTTGTTGAACCGAAATCTTGTTGACGTACAGGAATTCAGTTGATATGAGAATTTGTCACCTCCAAGCAAATGAGCCGTAAAAAGTTGATTACTTCTACAGAGCTCCCCTGCTGATGTTCGCCTATTGAATAGGCGAACATCAGCAGGGGTCTACAAACACGCGATAAACTCAGTTCCATTTTTCCAGCCTTGGCAGGGCACCACAAAGTTGCTTCCCAAGGATTCATGCGGACAAGGTCAGTATTATTACTCGCTCAGGGATTTGATCCGTTCCTCATGTAACTTCGCTGACAGATGTTCTCCGTAAAGAACTCGACCGTTTTCAGGCCGCGCTTTGACCAAATTACCGTATAGAAGAAACATCAGAAACACAGTTGAATAGGATTTGAGGTAGGAAGAATAAAAACAGTAAACTGATGGGAATGTGAATTTCAAGTTCTGAAAAGCAAACCACTCTAACCCCTTAACCGATCGGCCACGAGGTGAATTTCACCCGGAACATACTGAGCTATCGTCCGCTTAATACAAGGTGTCCGCTGAATGTGGGGGACCGTTTAATACAGAACAATATCAAAACTTGCTCAACTCAGTGGCCTTCTAAAACAGCAAGAGGAGATAACAAAGCCGTAGCTGCCATTAAGCCATACAATTAAGCCTGGGCTTAACAAGAATTTGGGTCAAAATGCTGAGCTCAGGTAATATCGTGAAAGGGCATGAAAATGCAACTCATTGCAGACGCGATGACGGGCATGTAAAATTGTAGCCTGCGAGCAAGCTCTCCTATTTGGGCAAGCGAAGCGAGCCTCGCGAGAACGCGCGAGTGAGGGGCCGAATAAAGGAGAGCTTGCAACCATCCGTTACAAATTTTCATTTCCACCCCGGAAACCCCCGGACTCCGCAAAGCGTGAAAACTGTCACCGCAAACGTGCCGCAGATTACAAAGTGACAACCGCCTGTCAAGTAGCGTAGAATTATTTATTTATAAATCGCTTTCGCAACAGCATCAAGGCAATGTTTTTAATCACTGATATGTTTTTTTTTTTTCACGGGGACATCGAACTTCAACGTGTCCGCTCGGATAAGAACTCACTACTTTGATTCTTTACTTCGTTTACCTTTGAAAAGTCGTCCATACTGCAGTGTAGAAGACTACTCCCCATCGCAATCACCAACAAAAAATTATTTGTCCGTCTGGAACTGGAGAATAGCGTTTTCCTGCACTTTGTTCTCTTAAGGTTTACTCCAGTTGCTTCCAACTCTTTCTCTTTTCCTTCTTATCGGTCAAGCTACACAGCTACACTGTCAAGTACATGTTTCTGAATTTTTTACCCAGCAGAATTCAATCGGGCGAAGAAACCGATGTTGGAAGACAGCGCTTTAATCACTCTTCACTTTCACTCTCCCGGTTTTCAGAACTAAACAAGGCGCTTAACACAAATGAATACAACTGATGAAGGGTTTTCATTTTCCTTCCACAAGAACTACAAACTCGGTCCGACTTATCCTCGGCATGCAATATTCTCTTTGCGAGAATTAACGAGCCCGTCTGCATTGAGGGCTGAAACAAGTTCTCCGTACCAATCTGATCCCCCTGAGAACCAAATTTGACACACAGACGAAGCGGGTGCCAGCTTGGCCTGTTATCAATCAACTTCGATTTCCGGAACGTCATTTTTCAGCCAATGGTATTTCCCTTCGTCTGGGCGAAGTACAAATGAAAATTTGTAAGGGATGGTTGCAAGCTCTCCTTTCCTCTGCCCCTCGCGGCTTCGCCGCTCGCTCGCGCGTTCTCGCGAGACCCGTTTTACTCGCCCAAACAGGAGAGCTTGCTAGCAGGCTAGTAAAATTGACAAAATTGGCACATACAGTCGACTCCCAGTAACTCGAAACCTTCCTAATTCGAATCTCCCACTAACTGGAAGTATATAATCTTGTTTTCCCTTCAGATCATCGTTTCGGTACAATTTTACCCTCGCTAACTCGAACCATGCATAAATGCGCAGTAACAAGTCGGGAAAAAAAAGCAATGAACTGCAGTCCAAAAAATTGAACTTATTTCAAAGCAACTGTGTGCTCTGTCTTTACTTTTTTGTCAGCAGTCCAATTCAGTTACAATGTTTAACCCTGTACTGATTAATCAAGCTTTGTTTCAAAATGTCAATCTATATTTCGTGCTGCCCTTGAAGTGATACTTGCATTCCTCCCCATCTGCTTTCCTTATTTTTGGTTATTTGCTTCAAGCTCCCAATAAGTGGAACGTTTTTCGATTTCCCTATAAGGTTCAAGTTATAAGGAGTCGACTGTATTTAAATTCTCTTGAATCTGTCGTTGAACGCCATGTTGGTTTTCACTAGTAGATTCGTTGTAGGGATTCTTTGACTTTCATCATGCAGGAGGGTCTCAACTGTTAAATAACATTTAGCAAACCATTTCCTCCCTGTTTGTTTTCCTTTTCTTTCTTTTCTTTTCTTTTTTTGTGGAAATATCAAGTCATTATGTCAAGTGGATCATACGAAATAGGTAATTTCATGCCCTGGTCGACTATGTTTCTTTCTGCATTAATCGATAGTAAAATGCAACCCCGAACAAGCCAATCCATCAGAACGGTCCTTTAATTTACTTCATTTTATTTGAAAATCGGCGACTGATCTAAAAACTAGCCTCGCTCCGCTGTTCTATTTTGCCGCGAACTTATTGAGATACACTGAGCGAAACATTTGAAGGCCTTACAACTGAGAAAGCCGCCACTGAGCTCATTCACTTTTTCCCCTCACCAGGTCACTGCCGATCCATTGCGACTCTAAAGAGATACGGTCGACTCCCAATAACTCGAACCCTAGCTAACAAGAATCATCAAACTCGATTTCCCCTGGATTTCCTTCATACATTTACAGTACCGTAATTTTACCCTCGATCGGTAACTCAAACCTTCGAGAACTAAAACCTTCGGCTAACTCAATATTTTTTGTTTCCCTTCGGATAATTTCAATGTAATTTTGTGTCAGCCGTGTATTCTGTTTTTAAGTATTTTGTTGGCTATTTTTAGCTTATTTCATGTTTGCACTTAACGTTGGACTCGTGCTTAGTGTTTTGTTATGATCAGTTTGTTGATCAAGGTTAATCCGTATTTGTAATATTCTATTACCTTTTTTAAGTAGTTTTTCAACATGAAGTTCATTTATTAATTTTGAGCGTCAGTCCTTTAAGTGGGCACGTTTTGGGACGCGACGGCGCGGACGACTTTGAAATTCACCACAGGGAGGAAGTTTCAATTTCCGGTGTCCTTGTAAAAACCTTATTAGGATTCAATTAATAGCCACCAATATGTCATGACTTGTGTACTTTGCGTCACTGATGGAAGTTTTACCGACAGATATAATTCATGGCAAGTCAAAATTTTAGGCCCAGTTCAAACGTCGAATTTCACATGTGCCGAATTTAATTGCTATTTTAGTCGACTAAAATAGTTAAATACGGCATTTGATTCAAACGTCGAATTTATCTCACTGAACTCTGTCGAATTTAACTCTCTTCGCTGTCAATATTCTCAGTAATATAACAATGATTGACTCATGTGAAATGCGACGTTTGAATCAAAAGTCGAACCTAAGTCGAATCTTCGACTATTTCAGTCGCAGATACGGCAAACGTCGCATTTCATTGAAACAGTCGAATTTAATTGATTCAAACGTCGCACTTCACATGCATTTAACTCTCGCGTTAAGTTCGGCACATGTGAAATTCGACGTTTGAACCGGCCCTTATGCTTTTTATGTAGAGATGATGTTTGGAAGTAGCAGGGCCGATTATTTATAGCTATTTATGATTTGGTCGATAGTACAGATAGTACTGGCGCTCGATTCAACTCATCAATGTTGGTTTTTTCAAAGAGAAAAGATCATGTTGCCGTTTCAACCTTAGCACGAGCCTTTAACTTGCGCCGATGAAATCAGGGGCACCCAGCGAGAGTATAGTTCAAAACCACTTAAACATAGCATTGTTAAACGTATTTTAGTATTTAAACGGTAGATATAGGCATATTTTTATCCCCTAGAAATTTTCCATCTGTTCGGATTTCCTAGCTGAAAGTCTAGTGATCCGAAAATTATAGGGATCAAAACTTACCTTTCCGAAAATTTCAGCCAGAAAAAATGCTCCCGAAAATTCTAGGTGATCTTTTAAGGGTAAAAATCCGTTAAAAATGGGCTATTATACCATTTTTTAGATGTTCGAAAATCCTAGGAGAGGCAGGTAAGCAAGAAATTTTACAACAAATGTTCCGAAAATTGTAGATCGCAAATCGTCTTCCGAACAGATATTTTCCGAAAATTGTCGTTGGGTGCCCTTGATGAAATGCAGACGAAAGCGGGTTTAAAGCGATCAAAGAAAGGCTAAATTCCTTCCATCTCAGTAGAAAATATAGCGGGAAGCGGTCAGAGAAGTTAGAGAAAGCGTTTCGTCGTGCTTAGCCTTTTTAGGCTGTGGCTCTGTGAGAATTTTATTCTCCGGGTGTCTCAGAGGGAACTAAAAACTCGCTTTTAGATATTGTTTGAATCTCTATCCAGCATTAAGAAAAACAGTTTGGCCTTCCTGATTCAACAGAGCAGCTTAGCCTTTTTAGGCTGTGGCTCTGTGAGAATTTTATTCTCCGGGTGTCTCAGAGGGAACTAAAAACGCGCTTTTCAGATATTTTTTGAATTTTCCGTCTAGCATTAAGTAATTAAAAACAGTTTGGCCTTCCTGATTCAACAGAGCAGCTTAGCCTTTTTA